AGCTCCAGGCTGCGTGGGAGCATCCCCACGCACCGCTCGCCCCGTCGCTCTTTGCCCAGGACCCCTCTTGTTTCCATAGTTTCACCTAGTGCCTCAGCCATACGTTAGGGGATCTGTTTTCCTGCCTCTACATTTACCACCTATTTATTTTTTATTTTTTAATTCTGAGTTTGTGTCATACCGGTGGCTGAGGCTCTGTCAGGCACATCCCAGGGAGCCGGGGCTTGGAGCTGATGGGCTGCAGATGCAGCCTGGGAAAGTCAAAGTCAGCCTCCTGAGCTGAGCTGCCCAAGAGCAGCTGCCACAGCTTGGCTTTGCCATCACCAGCATCCCTCGGCATTGCCAGGGCGGCACTGAATCCCTCACCTGCCTCCAAAAAGAGAGGGGTTGGATCAAGTGCACCCTCAGCAAGTTTACAGATGACACCAAGTTGTGTGATGTTGTGGACACGCTGGAGGGAAGGGATGCCATCCAGTGGGACCTGGACAGGCTGGAGAGGTGGGCCTGTGAGAACCTCATGAAGTTCAACAAGGCCAAGTGCAAGGTCCTGCACGTGGGTCGGGGCAATCCCAAGCACAAGTACAGGCTGGGTGGAGAATGGATTGAGAGCAGCCCTGAGGAAAAGGACTTGGGAGTGCTGGTGGGTGAGAAGCTCACCATGAGCTGGCACCGTGCGCTGGCAGCCCAGAAAACCAACCGTGTCCTGGGCTGCATCCAGAGCAGCGTGGGCAGCAGGGCGAGGGAGGGGATTCTGCCCCTCTGCTCTGCTCTCGGGAGACTCCGCCTAGAACACTGTGTTCTGCTCTGGAGTCCCCAACACAAGAAGGACATGGAGCTGCTGGAGCAGGTCCAGAGGAGGCCACAAAGATGATCCGAGGGCTGGAGCACCTCTGCTATGGAGACAGGCTGGGAGAGTTGGGGCTGTTCAGCCTGGAGAAGAGAAGGCTCTGGGGTGATCTTATAGCAGCTTTCCAGTACCTAAAGGGACTACAGGAAAGCTGGAGAGGGACTTTTTACAGGAGCATGTAGTGATAGGACAAGGGGCAATGGCTTTAAAGTGAAAGAGGGGAGATTTAGATTGGATCTAAGAAAGAAATTTTTCACTCCGAGGGTGGTGAGGCACTGGGACAGCTTGCCCAGAGAAGTTGTAGATGCCCCATCCCTGGAAGTGTTCAAGGCCAGGTTGGATGAGGCTTTGGGCAACCTGGTGTAGTGGAGGGGGTCCCTGCCCCTGGCAGGGGGGGTGGGACTAGATGATCCTTGAGGTCCCTTCCAACCCAAACCATTCTATGGTTCTATGATTCTAAGTAAGTGACGGCTGCCATTCCAGCTGGCTGCTGGACGGGCTGAGACATTTGCTCGTGCCACCGAAGTGAAGGAGAGTTGGATGTCACCTGCTGTTTATGGTAACTGCGCCCAGGGAAATTCCCTCCCTCAGCAGCAGCTTTTATGGTGGTTATTCGACGAGGCCGCAGGGACGATGTTGTGGAGCTCCATGGAAACGTTTCCAGACCTGATCTTTATCCGTAAATGATAAAAGCAGCACGTTTCCCCTCTTTCAAGAGCAAGCGGAGGCTGAAGGTTGGTCTGAATTTGCCACGGGCCACAAATGGGTTATGAGGTCAGTTGGAGTCGTCTGCCACGTCTGAGCCACCGCGTTTACGTGAGCTTCGTGCCTTGCAGAAGACGGCTGGTTGGATTGCTCCCAAAAATCGATGGCACCTGGCACGCAAAGGCTTTGCAAAAGGGGCCGAGGGCTTGCGCCGGTGGGAAACGTGCAGCAGAGCCGGGCATCCCTGGCAGGGCCAGGGTGAGAGCCACGGCCGTGGGTGATGTTAGAGAAAATTAATTTTTAATCACCAACCCTCCATCTTAAGTTACCTTATAACCTCCCGTTCCCTGGGGAGCTGGGGGGCAGTGCCAGCGGGTGGGGAGGTGGGTAAGTGCCCACTTGTGTGGAGACATGGCAAAGGACCGACGGGTCTGCTCACGTATTTCCCGTTTTGTCTTCCAGCGGAGCTGAGTCCCTCTCTTCAGATGAAAAAGGTACGGTAATTTTGTGAAATTAAGTTCTTCAAATGGGTTTTTTATGGGAAATGCCCATCCTTTGGAATGGAAAAGACAATTTTGGAACCGCTGGCTTTAAAAAGCGCAGTGTGGTGCCTTAGTTTAACGGGTACGAGTTTTGAATTTTTTATACTGATTTTTAAAATTCATATTCCTTTGCTATTTATTCCCTTCCTCTGACCTGCGTGGTACGAAAACACCAAGAGAAGAGTTAAATCTTTTTCAAGCTTATATCCCCCGACTGCTTTTCTCTTGCAGAGGTGGCGGCCGGCGGTGCCGAGGGAGAGGGCTCGGCCGAGGAGCACCCAGTGGGTGAGCACACGCGTGGCTGGCGTCCTCCCCGGCGCGTGGGATGACGTGGCCACCCTTGCACCTCCCATTTCCCCGCGCTATGATAACACTGCTGCAGCTCCTCAAGTCACTCACTTTGCAATGCTGGTTTCTATTCATCTCAACGTTCGTAAGAATAATTTGTTAAAGCCCCGTACGGCGCATCCCTGTGAGTCACATCGCTGGTGGGACGCAGCAGCTCCCACCCATGCTTCTCCCACCTCACCTGCATGTCACGGAACACCATAATTCAGCTGGGTGAACTGGGACATGCCATGGGTGGAGCTCTAAAGTAGTCCCAGGTTATACAAAACATTAGAATTAAACATCCCTAGTATCACACGTACCCTTCAGAAGGGCCTGGGTGACCCTTAAGTCTCCTCTGATGGTTTGATGCTCTGATGCTTCTCTCTGCCCAAGTATTTTTCTGCTGTATTATCTAACTTACTGACCAACCTGAGATGTATTTAAACTTCTAGATGTATCCTTTTACTTCGGGTATTGCTTTATTTCATTCTGCTGGTGACTAATGGGGTGTAATTTTGTTAAGCAGAGGACAGTTCCGAAAACAGCTCCAGCAGTAGCTCGGAAGATGAGTCAGGTGAGCATCTCCCTGTGATTTATCTACTTCCTCCCTTTCGGAAATGTACATTTGGTTTAAACCAGCTGCTTTTCATGGGAATAGTCTCAGGGTTGTTGTATGAGACTGTTAACTCAGTGACTGCACGCTGAAAAGCAGAATGATATTTTTGTGAGCAAACGAGTTCCCAGCCGCTCGGTTTTGAGCAGAGCAATAATCGAGGAGCAGCAGCTCGTGTTGCTTTAGCCTCCGAGACACAATACACGCAGCTGTTTTTACACCACAGTGGTTGTCCAAAGATCAAGAGGCTATAAATCTGCTGAAAAGTTGGCAGCAAAAGTGGCAAAACAGGATGGACAGGAAAAGAATTAAAGGAAGCCTTCGCTGTTGATGAAAAGCCTTGCGGGTTTGCGCTTACACGGGTCCCGCCACCAGCAGTTTATTCTGGTTTCAAGCGAGGTCGGAAGCCTTCCGTTAAATAATTACAAAGCTTTTTCTCACCAGATGCGGAAGAGTCGGCTGGAAGAAGATCGGGTGAGCGTGCTTTTTTTTTTTGTTTTTGTTTTTTGTTCCTTTTCTCCACCGCGTGAGCGAGGGGAGGGATACGCGATGGAGAGAGGGTCGTTCAGCGCCAGCCCGCGGCTTTGGCCAAAATAACCTGCTGGAGAGCAAACCTGGCAACGGGGCCGGGGTGGGGGGGTGCTGCAGCACCCTTCCTCTAGCCCCGGCGTGCCG